TGGTCGTCGTACTCCTACCGATGTTGGAGCTCTGCCTGATGCCGCTGGGCACGACTGTTCTCGATGTGATTGCGAGCATTGAGATTGGCGTTGATACGGTCATGGGTGTCACCGCGTAGGGGTTGATTAACCTCCTGGTTGGTATTATGAGCTGGTCAGCCATGTTGATTTCGTGGTCCTTGTGATCCAGGGTTGATGGCAACATTGCCCCTAGACCCCCCCTTGGATGATCTGGCCATTGTGGTAACGACTCCCCCCATTATGGCGAGAACCACGGGGGTTACGACTGTGTACGGACGCTATCAAAAAGGATGGAGCTGGGTTCTGGATGTTGTTGACCTGGACTTGAGCTGCTTTAAGCAACACTTGGATCTTGAGTACCTCCAACGTTGGTGGGAGTCTAGCCAACTCATGGGTGGCCATAGCCAGATTGGCACTCGGCGTCCGCTCCACTTGCTAGTTGTCCACCATGAGGAACTCTTGTTGGAGATTACGAGCGAGAGGCGGTGGGTCACCTCTGGCAGCTTCGTCGGCGTTTTTTGCTTCTTCATTACGACGTCATTGGCGATCAGCGTTCCTAGCTTCGCGTTCACGGCGCTGGACACTGGTCTCTCCATCGATAGCAACGCGGTCATGGCTAACCATCAAAAGCTCTCTCCCAAAGCCTGGAGGGAAAGGTGGACAGCTGCTGGTAGAACCCTTGGAGTATGGCTCGGGGCTTTCCTCCAGGATTATGTGGAGCGTGTCATCCGGAAGATCTATTTGGATTTGCACCATGTTTACCATTAGCGCGGGCTGGTCAGCCTTAGGGAAGTCAACCTGATAGAAGTCATTGACGTGGCTGCGCTCGGCGTGGTCAGCGAAAAGATGGTGCACGGCATCCTGACAGATCGGACCCGCACCCACCAGCCCGAAAGAATAGGGCTTTGGCATGCTCTTCATCGGGGCGATGAGTGGTCGGCCTTGAACGGTACGTCCTTCCGGAGTTGCCGTGATCACCAAATCTTCAACTTGCCACCTAGGACGACGTGCACGAGCAGGGTGCTCGGCATTAGTGGCATGGTGACCTTGGAGTGCAGGAACTTTATCGTTCGCTCTAGATTGATCTAAGACCGAATCCACGAGGAGCTGGTATTCCGCTAAGCGGTTTGTGACCCGATCGATGGATACGATCAGATCATCATTGCTGGTGGATCTCCTAACCCAGCGGCGAGGCGCTGAGATCGGAGATGTCGTTGTAGATGTTGGCACGATCTGGCGCAGGGTGATTCTGCTCCACCTCCATGATTTCCTCGATGCCGTCGGCGTCGATGACCTAGGTCATAGATCCGACCGTCAAGGTCTGACCTGGCTTGGGAAGGATCATGGAGCTCGGGAAGCATACCATCTAGCTCGCCATGGAATCAGCACGCACGCCCCCTACCTGGTGTGCCACTATCGACGAAATATGGTTGGCAGTCTACTGAGGGGTATGCCCACGGTAGTAGATGAATCGGTGGAGGTGCGCATAATAGAAGCCGGATGGTGACACAAGCACAGAAACAAGCGATTTAGACAGGTTCAGGCCGTCTGATCGACGTAATACCCTACGTCCTATGTCTTTGGTGGATTGTATTGAATATGAGATGCATTCGATGGGGGTCCCTACCCGCCTTATATAGTCTGGGGGCTAGGGTTACAAGTCGGTTTAGGCATAGATCTATTCGATTATATGGTAAGTATTTACAAGGAATACGATATCTATCATATTCGAAAAGATCTTCCTTCATCGCCAAGATGTCTTCTGATTGCCTTGCGGTGCACGCCGACCAGAGCCAAACACCACAGACCTTGATCTTATGGGCTGAACATCCCCTGGTGATGTGGCCCATGTCCATTGTCGTGGGTACCTGGGGTTATACCCCCCACAGAAACGACTAAGGAAGTGGTGGTGGAGTTGGACGAGGCGGTGGATACAGACGAGGAGCACCAAACGGGTGAGGGGGAAGGTACATACCATTGGCCAGGACGAGAGGATGAGTCTGTGAAGACCCAAACCCTGCATCCCGTCGAGAGGTTGTGACGCCGTGCCCCATGGTCCGTTCGGTGGTGACCAGCGACGAGGAACTCGCGTTCGCCAAGATCGGTGATGTGGCCACGATCCCGGGGCTATGCGACATTGTGTCGAACGCCGTGCGGTCCAAGCTCTTCACAGCGTTCTTCACCTGGAGCTTTAGGTCGTCGACGATGCCTTCCAACTCCGGTCGCCACGCTCCGATGTCAGCCGCCACCGCCTCCAGCTTGGTAACCCTTGCGTCACGGTCGTCAGTGGCGTGCGCGACGTGAACCGACTCGATCGTGGCGAGGCGCTTGGTGATGCCCGAAGCCTGGGTGGAGTACGCCAACTCCAGCGCAGCGAGGCGGTCGGAGACTCCCGGATCCACGGTTGACGTGCGGGCCGACTCTAGAGCGGCGAGGCGGCGATCGACGTCGCTGTCGCGAACGGAGAGGTCGCGGTCGAGGTCAGAGAAGCGCTGATCAAGCCGAGCGTCGTGGTTGTCGAGCCGCTTGCCGAACTCGTCCAGCTTGTCGGGGATGATTTTCAGATTGGGGTCCATCGTGCCGAGAGATCGCTGCTGGCGAGTGAAGTGGTCGTGGGCGGCGGTAGCAGTGGGATCCAGGGCGGAGAGGAAAACAGAGGAGGAGCAGAGTAGCGGTGGATCAAAGAAGACGTCTAATACCAGATTGTTAGCAGTGGGGAAGACTTGGGAAGGAAGAAGAAGAAGTAGCAAAGCAGTAAACACAACAGAATAGCGAGGACGAAGTTTGAATTTAGAACTTGAATATTTGGTTTACAATTCTCATAACTCTCTCTTCTTTCTCTACTATCTTTATACTATCTAGTTAGACCAGGCTGGGCCGAGGAACTTGGCATTGGGCTTGGACACCCGCTTGGGCCTTGACTTGTTCTCCGCAGGCGAGTCCTGACTATTGTCGGATTACGAGCAGTATTGCTAACAGGCAGGCAGGTGAATGCAGCTGCCCGGTGGCATCTGCAGAACAGCACACATGACATGGTGCTGTGTGCTGACGAGGAGGGATGGATGAGTCACTCTGTCCGTGTGGCTGCGTGTGAATGGTTCACGGCAGGTGACAACGACTTCACTGTGCTGCTGTACAACACTGCACAGCAAAGATGGAACCATGCATGTGTGTGTATGTACAGTGTAGTGAATCACAGTAGGAAGAAGACTGCATGAGCAGTTTACGTGTCAGTGTCGTACCATGTCTGCGCTGGAGGGATGTAGAGACAGGGCGGCGGCACTATTATATATACCAGAGCAGGTGCTACCTGGCAGTAAAATCCCCACCATTGTAGTAGTAAAACACAGCACGAATCATCGATCATGCATGTACTACATACAGGAAAAAGACAGTCTTCATGTTACTGTTACCTGAGGCCCTAGTGTTTTTCCATCGAATAGTACTCTCAGTTTGTTGAAACCCAAGAACATATATACAGTACTCCTATACCTCAAGATTGTTTAGGCGCATGAGACCTAAGGAAACGACCAAGGCTCCCGTCATTCAGAGATCATAAAGCCGACTAGTCAGGCTCGTGACAGCGTCAGTTTCAGGGAAGCAGCAGTGGTGTCCTGTGCAGTGAAGACTGAAGACCAGAAGACGGCAAACACGGAGACTTACAGAGCAGAGCAGAGCATTTGTTGTTGCTCCCGCATCCGCATGCCATGATTCATGAATGAATGAACCAGACAGTGTGAGTGCAGGGTTCCGAGGACAGCCATGCATGGAGGTCATGGGCTATGCCTCTACTTCTTCAAACCCTCCTGGCCTGAAACTCCGAAAGCTCCAACGGCTCGAGTTCCCTGGCAGCAACGGCACTAGAATAAATCAGGGAAAGAAAATGGAACGGGATGCATGCACCAAATCATAATTAATTAATTTATTTATGAATGGCTGCTTAGGGTCACTGCCGACTGCAAGTCATCAGGTGAGCATTCTTGGTTGATTCCTGCCCTGATGAGAACCACAAAACATTTTTGGACCTTCATCTCCTGTCTAGCAGACTTTTTGGCACTGGTCAACGAAAACTCAAAGTAATAGCATAACATGGGATGGGGCCCTAATCTTCTCATAACTCGCTCGTCGTTTACCTTTCTGTTTTCTCCCTTTGGTCGTTGTAGGAAACTCATTCTTATCTTACTGAAAAATACTTGTTCAGCACCTTCTCAAAAATATATAAACCTGAGGCCTTAGAATGCCAAATACATACAACATCCACCAATACCACCCGAGCTGAAGAGCTGGACGATAAAAATCAACATGCACTGAGCGTGACGGACTGACGGCTTTGCTACGAACCACGCTAGCCTGCAATCCTTGCCAGGTCCAGCCGTGCAAGAGCAGTGCGCTACACAAAGGCGCAGCGTAGCGTGGAAATCTACAGCTTTAGGCGAGGCGACAGATTCACATAGCATGATAGGAAGAAGGGCGAGACGAATTCTGCAGAAGCATACAAAGCTCAATTGTCCTTTGGATGGGCCCGTCCCCTTTGCCATCGTTTCAACGTCCGCCCACAGCCCACAGGATGCAACAAAATACTCAACAAAATGAGGACCCGTATTTTCCGTGTCTCCAGCCTCTCACGCTCTCGCAAACAAGACACCAACAATGATCAAGTCCACTGCAGCGACAAGACCAACAAACCAGTTATTTTCCTTTTTGCTAAATTCCTCATCATACAGTCAATTTTCAAAATCTAAAGGACCAGTCAATATCCAAAAACTACAACGGCCGTTTTAATTAGGGGTTCAGATGACTACTTCGCATCGAAGACACCGTATCTTGGTGCGGCAAAATGCTGCGAGTAATAGAAAGGCAAAAGTGTGAAGCTACCAAGTGCACCAGTATACAACACAAGAAGCAAGCGCTGCAAACTGATCTTATTTTACTAGCCTGGAGATGGTGACCTAGTTCAACAAACAGCCAGAGGGCTTCCCCTATTTCAACTTTGAAAGGATCTCCTCGGAAGGAACCTCCAGTGTAGCTCCAGCATGAACACTCTCAGGCTTCACAACTGCAAAACAGAAATTGCACAGATCAACAATCATGATGGACCAGACAACTTTAAAAGCAAGTACAAAAAAATAAAAAATAAAAAACCAACGATGTAAACATGAAAGTGAAACAGATTTTTTTAACATCAAACGGAGGCAATCTTCAAAAACCTCCCATATAATAAAATATAACGATAGTTATAAGGATCATCGTACTAATATACTATGATGTGACAAGGTTATCATACTTTTCTTCAGTATACACAGCATAAACTGAAACCAATTGAAAGTGTTTTGTGTTTGGGTAAAAAAAGTTTGAAAGACTGTTTTGGCAAACCATGAAGCTGTCAGCGACATAGTTCTCTCTGGACAGGCCACCGCTGCAATGATGCTGATATGAGAACGAGACCAGATTTTCATTATTAGTGCCCTCCAAAGAAATGGAGGGGATGAGGTCTAGCCTGGTCCACCTGGGAGCACATACAACAAGCAGTACTAATGTCTAACGGATTGCTTGTTTGCTAAAGACAAAAAAGGGCTAAGGAATACAATGAATCCATAAACAGATCTTGGATTCTTCATCTTCAACACTTAGTGCAACTCTTGCCTATTCAGAAAAAAGGTGGCATGCTCCAAACTGTCATCCACACATTGGTGACAATAAATTTACAGTACCGCCATTTGTCGCAAGACTAAATAGTACACTTCCTTGAAAAAAGAAAGGGTTTGTGTTTCAATAGACAGAAACTTGATCTGATTTTTCTCTTTCCAAAAAAAATTTCTAGACAATAATAGAATGATGGGAAGTTCATACTTGCAACTTACAAGAATGGTAAAAGTCAATTTAGAACCCCCAAAGTATTGCATGAGTGAATGCCTCCCTAGAGTAATTGTTTTGTCCATTTAATCCCCTAATGTTGCGATATTGGGTCACTTTAGTGAAAAATGGATTTTTCTTACATAAAAATAAACGTCCAAAGTTCATAAAACATCAAAGGATTGAAATACATAGAACATTGTTCAAAATATGCAAGCATATTCCAAGCACTGAATGCCTTTTCAAGGGCAAGGAAACAAGTAAAGTAACATATTCTATCTTGAGCAGTTATGAAGTGTTGTAGTATAGCAAGGATTTATCCTAATCAAGGAATAAAATAATCAATTCATTATACAAATTGTGCCTAGAATAACTGTAATAGAACTGACACTCTGGTCTTTAGTTTAGAGCTCAATTTTTATCTACTCTGTATAACTCTTGCAGTCTTGCTATACTTTAGCATTCGATTAATGAACTCTAAAATTTTGTTCGAAACAAATGCCATTGGTAAGTTGACAGTCACTAAATGTTTCTATTCATTTGCCAAACGAAAAAACTGTGGCTTCCTCTTTCCTTCTATAGGATAAAATCTTCCAATATAAATATTGCGCCAAAATTAAAATACATAAACAAGTTCTTGCGGCAAGATAAGAAGGGATATATATACAAAATCTGAATTGTGTCCTACAGGGGGAAACAAATCTAATGTTATTGTGTGGGCATTCGAGTGGTGACCTTCTCTGAAACATTAAAAAGGGCATTTCAATCAGTTACATGACAAAATGTTCTAGACAATGCTGAATGACTTGTACTTTTAAATCATAGATGCTACACAGATGACATGTAAAAAGGGTCCACCACAAGAATCCTTTCTTGGGGGGGCTTTCAGTGTTAGTTTCTGCAAGGAGTCTTCATGGCACTTGTCTACCTAATTCAGATCAGCAGTCACCACTTACATCATTCATCTGTCCCTAGTATTTCAACAACATAAAGCTTAAACAACAGTTCAAGGGCAAGCTACGAGCATCTTAGAAAATGAGCTCATGCCCTGCCATGTGCATGATAACTGCACCTGTTCGCGCACATGAGCTGCTTCTGACACAGCAATATAGCCAATGCTGTGTGTGAGAAGCTGCTGGACTCTATTTGAAGGACTATAGTAAACATGTGGGGAACTTGGACCATACGGTACACAGTAAGATGGTGTTGGACTGTTGGTTATTGAGAACACTCAGTAGTTGGGGGACCAGGGACTTCCGCAAAAACATGGTATACCTACAGAAGTAAGTCACTGAATTCCTTAATGATGGCTTCCAGCGCCAAATTCATGCTTTGTTGTAATTAATCAAATAAATAACAGCATTATTAAGCTGAAGTATTATATAACAATAATAGATCAAGTTGAAGCACCTTAAGCCCTGCTCTTCTTTTGCAGAATGACATGAGTCAAGCCTTTTTTAGAAAGGCAAAGCCACAACTATCCCTTACATCTTTAAGTCTATTGTGTGATTGTGTAATTTTGCGCTCCATGGCTCTAAGGCTTTAACGATGCCAAATTACTTAGGCCTACGATTGTGTTTTCCCTGGAGTTGTAGACATAGCAAATGTTGTGTAAGCAACATGTTACATAGGTTTTTGAGTCGACCATTGTATCCATCATACTGAAATTTACTAGCCAGAAGTGAAGCAATAAATCGAGAATATGGCATAGGCAGGCCAATCTAGTATGAAGGCCCTCATTTCAATGAGCAATGTACTGTGCTACTGTAAATGCATGTGATACATAGAGAAATTGTCAGAGCTCTCTGTTACTACTCAAGTACTCCCTTAAGTAATATGTCATCAAATGTTGCATGTGAAATCCTAAATAAATAGTTAATAATCCATGGAGTTAGACTATTGTTTTATGTATATGGTGAAAACTGCAATAGACAACAAAATTTGTGTACAATATCAACAAGCCTGTTTGTGCTCAAATACATTTAGCACTTGCTAATCCCACAGGCCTACTCAAGATTCATCACATCTACGGTAAAGTGCCAGTGGCCCTTAAAAAATAGCAGGTTCAATAGGCACTCTCCTTTTTAATGATTTTGCACCTCTCAGCCATAACAATTTAGAAATCTCAGGACTGTTACAGTAATCATCTGCAGATATAAGATCATCAACATAAATTTAGTAGATTATGTTATGTACTAACTAGTTTAAAGGTCATGGACTAACTGGTTAGTGGTTACCCTCCTGCTCCTGCCTCTATTTATTTACATCTAATTTGCACCTACTCAAAACCCTACCTCATAGCTCAAAACCCTACCTCATAGCACAAAATTGAGCTAAATGTTTCCGCATAAGGCTGGTTAGGCCGCACAAACGGGCTGGTCAGACCGCGTAATTAGTAATGGATGGGTGACCAATGCAGTACCAAATACCATTTTTTTCGTCCCTAGATCACAAACAGGCGCTGGGGGAGGGGTGACTGGAGAGCAGTATCGAATTGTACCGAAGGATCCGGAGGGCGCGCGTGTGGCCTGGACTATCATATGGGTGATGAAGTGCGCCGCCTCGCGGGCGTCGGCGAGGGCACGAGCTGCCTCGTCGGAGCCCGGGGCTAGACCACGGTGGTCCTCGAAGCGGCGTCGGATCTCCACCGCAGACTCCTTCAGCATCAGCTGGTCGCCCGCGAACGTCCGCCGCGCCGCCCGCAGCACCGCCCGGTAGGCAGCCAGACCTTCCGCCGCCGCCGCCATTTCCCGCGAGCAGAGAGGTCGACTGGCCCTCTCACGTCGTGATGGTACAAGAGTCGGCGGCCACTTTGGATACCCGTGCAGAAGAAGGGAGGAAGCCCTTTCCTGCAACTTCAAACATTTTTTAAAGGAAAATTGAATCTTTACCATCAAAAGGTGATGTAGTTAGATATTTACCATGAATCAGTTTTAGATATGGAGGACGCTTAAACATTCATGCTTTGATGTAACTGAAACATTTTTTTAGGCCTTTCCTTAAAAACTACATGTCTCCTTTCTCGTGGAGAACTGGAGATTGTTATCATTTTAAGCTGGAGCATTTGGATCAACTGGAATGATCATATTTTTCTGGGCAACAACTCCATCAATGGAAGCATGAAAGAAAATCTTTAGGAAGCATTTGGCATGGTTATCCATGGACCAAAGAAATACATAGTTAACACAAACGTTACCTGGCGAGACTATTCTTTTAGTTTGTTTATCCATGAAACAAAGTTCTTTTATAAATATACCCCCTTCTAAAAAAATGCACTTCTAGATCTGGTCCAAATCAAATAATTATAAATTTGACTAAGTTTATAAAAATAATATCAACAATTCTTATTTCAAATAAGTATAAATATGAAAATATATTTCATAATGAATCTAATGATACTTATCTGATATCATATTAGTACATTTTTAAAAATGTCAAACAGAAGATTGTTTGATTTAGCACTGTAGCTAGAAGTACATTCTTGTTGGGATGGAGTCAGTATATAAAAACAGTAGGGAACGAGCCCAGTGTTTCCTTAAAAAAAACGTTCAACAGAGCACAACCAGAAGCATCAAAGTGCCACAAGTATCCCACAGTTCCATTTGCCTTTGAAAGAATTTTACAGTAAAGTGCGGGCATCCGCAGCAACATCGGAGGTGTGAGGTGTCAGGTGTGCTGCATCTGCATCAACGTGAACCAATGGCCACGTACACCACAACTTCAGTCGGTTGGTCACCAGCCATCTCTTCATGTAAACAAGGCTTTTATGCTCTGGCTTACTGGTTCACGACTGTGTCAATTGCATAAACATATATAATTTTGTGAATTATAAACATATATGATTTTACTATTATAACACCAGGTAGCACTACTGTCCAGTTGTAGACATTTGTTGTCAAATCACAACCAGACGGACTAGAAACCATACTCTGTTCCTTTTGCTCGAAACAATTTCCTATGTTGCACCTGCATCATCCAACAAAGACGCAAGAAAACAAGACATGTATGAGACACATTCAGAAGGAGAACAAACCTATGTTCAGTATGAAATGATCAATATAAATGGTCACATATGAGTTGATCACACAAACAAGTTGTCTAAGGATATAAACAAACTGTTAGATCAAATGAAGTGCTCAGGTTTTAAATGTTTCACTGACTTCCGTGAACTAACTACATCACCTAGAAGCTTAATATGTTGAAGAAAGGCAGGCCTAGAACAACATTATGCTACTAGAATAAGGCAGTCAAATCAAACTGAGTTGGACTCTACTGCTACAAGTCTTGGCTATACTTTTGAGGCTAAGAGGAAACTTGAAAATATTTTTTGCTCGGATTTACAAATCAGAACATAGAGAAAAAATCCCCTCACTGGCAACCCAAAAAAAGAGTGGCAGGGTTGGTCTATGGCTCTTGCAGTTGGTTTGGGCCCTCCTAGCAGGGGGTAGTTGCAGTGGTTGCTTGCCCAGAAGGTTGTGATGGACCAAGGTTGTGCTTCCCTATAGGGTGAAGGCAGGTTTGAGAGGTTTTCTCGGCCTGTGTTGTTAAGGCTCTTCTTAATCATAATGACTTGGGGAGGCTGTCCCCTAGGGTTGAGTCTTTTTTAATTGTGTTGAGGAAAAACTGAATAGTACCTGTAAATATGAGTGATATTCTTCAATGGACGAAAATGGGAGATCAAACTAATCACATATGCACATTTCACGCCTCAGACAGGCTCCTTAGCCTGTCGCAGTGAGGTGTAGGGTAGTCCTTGGCCCATTGACACCGTTGGAGTTCCACATGGCAATATCTTCCAAGCAGACTCTTATAGTCCTTCAAAACATGCTGTTCAAGATTCTCTCTAGACTGACTCCCATGTGGAAACCGCTGATCAAAATCTTGTTTGCTGACGAGGTACTCCACCCCTTGGTTTTGGGTGACCTTTGAAATGGGGAAGTAATATGTCTTTTGCAGGGAATACTCAGACCCACGCGCTGGAATAAATGCAATAGAAACAATGAACAGTACCACCACAAGGTAATTAACACTGTTACATTTATGCCGGAACCACCCTGCACTGAATGCTCCCTTCTCTGTTGCTGTTGCCTTCCTGTTCCCCTAGCCCTGTAGGCATTCTGAGCATGGAACAGATTATCATGGGTTCCATAAAAGAAGGACCTGAAAATTTCATCAGGATCAAAATCTTCTTCGTAGTTATAGAAGCCACTTCTTGCTGGCCTCCTCTGCCTAGCAGCTCCCTGCCTCATGACATTGGGATATTGCTCATTGAATTCATGGTCCTCAATGGTTCCTGTCTGATCATAAGTCCTCCGCGACTGATCATTGCTTAGGCACTTGAAAGCCTTGCTTACCAACTTGAAAGCATCCTCTGCCCCAGGAGCCTTGTTCTTGTCAGGATGAAGCTTCAGTGATAACCTCCTGTAGGCCTTCCTAATTTCCTCCACAGAGCATCTTCTCTCTACTCCAAGAACTGCATAGTAATCCTTCTTTTTCCTGATATCCTGAACCACTCTAATATTCTCCTCAGTGTAAGCCTGATCAACATTTAAAGGACCAACAGATTCTTTTGGTGTTTTTGGGTCTACACGAGCTTGGCCTCTTCCAGTCTTGTCTTTGCAAGTAGCACTGTTCAGGATGCCAACCTTCTCAACTGGGCTCAACAAATCATCAAGTGGAAGACTGGGGTCCAATCTTTGAGCAATTTTAACTATTTTTTCTGCACGCTGCCTATCCCCAGATGCAAATGCAGATTTTGCAAGCTTGACAGACCTCAAGGCCTCATCTTTGTTCCCATCCATGAGTCCAATCAGCTCTGGGTAAAATAGGCCAAAACCTCAAACTGATGACCTACGAAACAAGAATACTGGATTAACACAACAAAGCAAACTATCATCTAATAAAACTGGCTAACGAACACCAATTGCCATGAGATAAAATGATGCCTAAATCTCAGCTTAGGAAGCTAGTAGACATAAACAAGTTGGAGGCAAAGAGTACAAAAACATTACAGGAATTTCACAGGAATTAGTTCAATTTCATAAGAAAAACGCAGGGAACAGGACAATTTCCTGCATTCCAAAGGGGGCCCAAATATTAGATGGATCCTCTATAGCCATATGAGTTATGCACATCCTAAACAAAACAGAATGACCACCTGATCAATTCAGAACTACACCAACAAGGAGACGTCCTGAGCTCATAGGATAAACCAACCGAGAAAGACCGCATGCCTTGATCAGGTGGTTCAGTAGCAATAATGTATTTTTTTTTTCTTTCGCAAGGAGTTCACTGCCTTTTGAAAGAGACGGTGAAGAATTTAGACTTCTTTACCAGATGTAAATAACTAGAACAGGAAGTACCCAACAAGCATACAAGACCTAAACTCACAAGAAATAGATTCATTTGGTGGAATGTACCATGGAAGCAATACACATGAAAAATAAACTATTAACTATCAGAAAAAGGAAGTTACTTCTCTTTCACCAACTCCCCATGAAATCAACATCTACTGATCTATTTCACCCACACACGACTCCCAAGCAACCAGATAAACAGCTCCCATCCACGCAGACCGATCCCAACCTGCCACCAACTCGGCCCTCCGCATCATCTAAACAGGAAATCAACATACAAGAAACAGGCGATACCATCCTAAACAATCCTCTCCTAAACCTCGATGTGTCGCGACACCTCGAAGTCATCGAGAAGAACCGGCCGCGCGTTGACCGAATCTGAGAGGAAACTTGCAAATTTGAAAGCTGCAGCTGATTTGAGACCGATGGATCAGGGAGCTCACCGGATAAGAGCGAGGGGAGGGAAGGCGAGGCGAGGAAGACCACACCCCCGCCACCGGAGAGGGCAAGGAAAATGGAGGAGACGGAACGGCGAAGCGCGCTGCACTTTTCTGCTAAGCCCCTTGGTTTTTCCACATTTTAAAATAGGGGCGCGTCTGGTGTCACTGTTACCTTGGACTGGGCCTGCAAAGGCCCAGGCCCAGACCGGAAGGGATCCACGAACCGGAACTATAGATCCACGCGGCACGAATCGCAAAGCGAACAATCCACGATTCCCACTTCCCAGGACCCTCGCGCCGGCAACCGCCGAAGCTGCTCGATCTCGACCTCGACTCAAGCCCTCCTCGCTCCTCGCCGCCGTCGAGTCGTCGCAGGTGAGGCAACGCGAACCCCTCTCCGCCCCGGGAGCCGCAGTCCCCGGGTCGAAATCTAGTGTGCAATTCTGTTCCCGTAGCAGGTGCTGCTTTTGCAATTATTTTTGTCGTCCCGGCGTTTCGGCGCCCAGAATTCGATTTGTTCCTGGCCAGGATTACTCGGTTTTAGTAGTTGTCGACTTTTCCCGGGTTGCCGCACCAGTTCGGCAGTTACAGCTTGCTTGGGATTGTTCGTACTGCTGGCTGATTCAGTATCCTTGTTGCAGGAACGATGACCCGGCGGAACGGCTGTACGATCTACGTGGGCAATCTCCCCGGCGACATCCGCGAGAGGGAAGTAGATGATCTCTTCTACAAGGTGAGTGGTTGGTTGGATCGTGTACCGAGCTTCCGGCCCTATAGACAGGGCTTCTCGTCGAATGCTAGATAGGTGGGGACGTTGTTGTGGTGTCAGTCAAGCCTGCGAGTATGATTTGGGGAGATTAGGGGACTGTTGGGAATAGCTTCTTTATGGCTCAAAATATTGCTGAAGTGGAAGAGTTGACTATGATGTACTGTAGGGTTTGCTAATATTGATATTTGACGTGCAATAAACTCTTGCTGTGAGTTTTATAATTGTGTGCGTTGGACCATGTACTTGTTTTTTATTTTGTTTTCACTGTGTAGTCACCACCTATATTTCGGTGATTATTTAAAGTTCTGTTCATTGTGGACTTCACCACTGCTAATTGTGTTTTGCCTTCTAACACCATCTAATCTAATATGGATGGAGCTCTGGAAGGGAAGGCAATTTGGATTGTGAATTGTCAATTTTTGTTTGTATCTTTACTCTGGTTGATTAACTTTCATGGATGTTAATTTTATGTTTTACAGTATGGACGTATAGTGGAAATTGACTTGAAAATTCCACCGAGGCCTCCTGGTTTTGCTTTTGTTGAGGTGAGTAGGCTGGTGTCTGTTCGATATGAGGATACTTTGTACTCATTAGATTTACGTTCATAATTTGTACTCGGTCCAATATTTTTTTTTATCAAAAACCTTGTTTTTGTGTGGTGAATTTTTAGGAGGTTTTATACATTATTTTAAGAAAACTAAAAAAGAATATTGCCTGAAGCGCTTATTGTTCCAACATATCTAATGTACGCAGCCAACCATGGAATAAATCAGTAATGCTAAGTACTCTATTGAATGTTAAGCAAGGATTACTAAATTATTCTCTAAAATCAATAATCTAGACATGCTATGATGATGGAGGACTGACAACACACTGATGCATTTTGCAGTTTGAGGACCCACGTGATGCTGAAGATGCAATATATGGCCGTGATGGATACAACTTTGATGGCCATAGGTTGCGGGTAGGTGGATCTTGATGAATACCTGTTTCATTAGAGATCTCCAGGTTACAGAGATGATAGCTATCTGAATTCTTCTAATGTTATTTATACTTTATATCCAGGTGGAATTAGCTCATGGTGGACGAGGTCCATCTTCTTTTGATCGATCTAGCAGCTATAGTAGTGCTGGACAACGCGGTGCCTCTAAACGTTCTGATTACCGTGGTTTGTATTTTTTTTGTTCCCAATTTTCAAAGCTTCAGCAACTTGAAATCTCTCTCTGATCTTACTGTATCGGGTCATTGATTATGCAGTTATGGTTACTGGATTACCTTCTTCAGCATCATGGCAAGATCTCAAGGTTTGATGAAGATCTAAGGTCATTAGCTATTGTTTTTGCCTCATAATCCTTAATTTTACTTTCATGTTCAGGATCATATGCGGCGAGCTGGTGATGTCTGTTTCACTGATGTGTATCGTGACGCTGGAGGTTAGTTTTGACACGTTCTGATGTTATCGATTTATTACACAGTGGGATGACCTTTTGGATAGCATGACTGTCATTCAAACTGTATCATATCATATTTTAGAAGGAATGGCTATTGATGCTTGTATCTAATTTTATGTTTATGATTGCAGCAACTATTGGACTAGCTGATTATACTAACTACGAAGATATGAAACACGCGGTAAGTTTTGAAGTGTTTTCTTCATCTTCCCTTTAAAATAGAGGTTATGTAATGTCATAAGAAACTTTTTTACATATGGTTGATCACTGGAAAAGGAGAAACTTCGTGATATGTGTAATCTTTGTACCTGTCCGTGCATACTTGCATACTTCCATGAAGATATGTACTGACAACTAGTACTTTTACCTCGTAGATAAGGAAGCTAGATGATTCTGAGTTCCGTAATGCTTTTTCAAGGACACATATCCAGGTATGGTCATCTTTGTCCTGATGATTTTGATTAGCAGTACCCAAATGCTTTATCGACACATTTGTTTCACCTTCTCAACTGAAAATTAGCATGCTCATCATTTGTCTTACTATAGGTGAGGGAGTATGATGCTAGGCGCAGCCGTTCTCGCTCCAGAGGCAGAAGTCGTAGCCGCTCTAAGTCGAGAAGCAGAAGCCGTAGCCGCTCATACTCAAGAAGCAGAAGCCGCAGTTATAGCAAGAGTAGGAGCCCAAGGTATATTTTTCAACTTTCTTCATGCTCAAATGTTGACTAGGGCACATCTAAGATATTAACATGCATTTTTTTTGTTGATTCAGATCTAGATCTGCTTCTCAGTCAAAATCACCTGTTAAAGCAAGGTATGAACAGTTAAAATTGGTATTGAATGGTTTGAAATTTAGAAAACTTCTGTTTTCAAGAAACTAATGGTAACTCAAAATATTGGTATCTAACAATTGCAGGGGAAAACATATCAGTAGCCTAGTTTTTTTCTAGATTTGTTTTGAAAATTTCCTTTTCGTTATTGTACTTTATGGCTTAGATTATGCTTGTTGATGCTGTATTTTTCATTACATGAATTTGAATTTTCACTGCATCTGATTATTAACATGTAACATTGTGTGTGACTGGATAGCTATTCTTCATTGTTGAAGATTTGCTCTTTTCTTCACTAGATTGGGGCAATGTGAGGATCTGGGGATTGCATTGGTAGGATAATGGAATATTGAGATTATGATGATGGTTTGGAACGTTGGATAGTCAGCTGGATTGTGATGCACTGTATGACAAGTGGACTGCAACCAGCAATAGGAGCAAGATAGGGCTGGCACCAAACATATACGGACTGGAATTTGTGGTATAATCGAATACTGTTGACTTCAGCACTTCCATTCTGAAATATAAAACCTTGGTCTCAATGATGAGGTTGTGCCCTTATCCTCAAATATAAATGTGAGCTTTAACATTGAGGTTTTCTTTTGTAAAAAAGTTGCACATCAGAAAAAGAAAGCTCTAGCCCTGTTGGACCATTTCAATCCATGTTGGATGTATCTTTGTTTGCTGCATTGTAGTTTCCTCTTATGAGAAATTGCAATTTCTAAATAGATTTTGAGCTTTTATATATATATATATATTGTTCAAAACAACTGAATGACAGAGGCATGAGTGGATATCTCGTGGTCACTTAATATTTTCAGAATATATATATGTATGGGTTCTACGATATTTGGGTTAAATCATATTTTCATGCAGCATTATGGACTAACAATTTTTTTTGTATACATTTTGCAGATCACCATCCAGATCCCCTCCTGTTTCTGTAAGTTTTTGAAATAAATAATGCATTTTTATCCAATACTTTTTTATGTGACCAGTTAAGTGTTGTACAGCCCCTGCGTGACAAGTCTGCAAGCAGGAGTCCTGCCAGGAGCAAAAGTCTGCCCTTATCTTGTTCTCCGGTATGTTTTCAACAGCTCCAGACCTTCATACTATTAGTCACTTGTTGGTATGCTATAATGCTAAAGCATATATTATGTGTTTCGTCTGGTTGATTGCAGGCAAAACCTGAATGAATTGGGGTCTGCACTTGAAACATTCAGAAATGCAGAGCTCGAGCTAAAAGATTGCCGTATGGATTATGAGCGCTGTGCTAGTAGCATTGCTATTCCTTCCATATTTTTGCAAATGCTCTGTTCTTTGAGGAGGTCACTGTATGCTACTGCTTTGTACTTGATATGATGCAAACGTTGTTGAATTTTGAACTTAGCAGAACGATGGCTTTGATGAGCTCCATTCATTGGGCGAGCTCCATCCATTCCTTCCAAATCTTAACTGAATACTGCAAAAGATTGTTGTATGGAGTCATTGTTATTCATTGATGCACTTCCTCCATTGTTGAAAAAATGGAACTCTACCACAAGTGATGTCCCTAAAATCAAGCAACTGTTGCTTATGATTAGTTGCAATTGTTTGCTTTTGTTCAATCAACAGATATGAAGAATAAAGAGTTGGGATATAAGCGTATTTTTGTTGTATGCTAACTTTTTCTCGATATGTGATAATCTTTTTAGTGTGGATGGAGTACCATTCTGCATCATTTGTGCAATCATTGGTGTGTTAGGTCAATTTGAGCCTATTGGTCATTACGGGAGTGTTCGGCTGGGATTAAAAAAGCACTGAAAACATTGTTTATACTGAAATGTTGTGAGAGAAAAATATTACTCCGGCTGAAAAAAAAAATAAGCCAAACAAGCCGGCTTAAAGTGCAGCCGAACACTCCCTACATGTGTGTTACCCTTGGGCCACAGTGTGTATGGCAGTATGGCCTGTTTTACCTGCCTTGAGTTGAGGTTGTTCCCTACTGCAGGGCACTGAGGGGGAGGTTATTCCCTACTGCACTGGGCGAAGTGAGTGATCTTTTGTGTTCCTCTGCAATACTGTGACCGTGGCATCAAAACAAAAGCGAAGGGTGGGTTTGGATCTGTCAAAATTCAAAACAGAAGGACGGGATATTGTGGTGAGTTTCTTGAGTTCGGCAAAGGACTCTGTTATTAGTAATAACGATGAGGTGCCACTATAAGATTGATAACAAGATGTCGCGTGGACCATGTGCTTGGATGTTATTGACGCCTTGACGGCCATCACCACTAGTGGAGTGGGGAACTGGCGATGCATTTTCCCATGTGCTATCGTCCTCTTGCCACCTGCTTGGGCTTCTTGGAGTGGACATGATCCGTGCACCTGCCTGCAGGAGCATTCGGCTACAGGATGATGCGTTTCTGAAAACATTCGTTTTTCAACGCTAGGTACCCTACCGTGCGTGAATACAACTTTGGACCTGCTTGATTGTTGGTTTTAGCAATACCACATGATTCTGAAACTACCGCAACTACCAGTACATTCGGACACTAAGGCCATATTTGGGACGCAAGAAAATCTTTCTATTTCTATGTTTTTATGAGATTCATAAACGGTTCCATGAATTTTTTGTGTTCCTGTTCACAAAAGATAAGTTGTTTGGGATAAAAGCTAAGTTGTTTTTTAGTAGTTTGTATCCAAACATGTCCAAGATATCAAAGATGAAATCAGATTAAAAATATTAGTACTTTGCATATTAGAAAAGGAAGGACTGCAAGAGCTTTAGAAGAGGGGTGATTTGAAGAAGGGATTCATCGGATGGTAGCAGCGTCGCACTTTCATTTCACTTAGTGCCTGTTTGGATTTTTTTTATTTTGGAGGAATTAGAATCTACTTTAGATACAAATCTATCTTAAATTTATGGGGGTAAGAGATAGAAATTGATTCCGTAGATTTCCATGCAAGTTTCTTCTAGGCAACTTATAGAACACTTTTGGCTCGCTCCCCTGTAACAAAAGTGCAAAATATAACTATCTCTCTCATATGGCCAATAGAAGTATATAAGTATATTCTGCATGTGGCCATATTAACTTAAAACTTAATTGGTCTATATCTAAATTTTGATTATTAGAATAATTTTTAATTCTAATGATCCAAACAGGGTCTTATATAGTTTTTGATATATATATATATATATATATATGTTAAAAGACATGTCGAGGCTCCAACATATACAAAATTTTTTTTTGAAACACATTAGAGATACAAACACTCACATATATGTCTGCACATTTACCTTTTACATTGAGTCAACAATTTAGATTGACGAGATTACCACGGGCTTCTCACTATTGGTGAATATGTCGCCTGACAATGCCTACAACTGAATTGAACAGAGTCTAAACTTAGATCGAGTTAAATACCAAGCCTTATGGTAGTACGAGCTTCTTTTTGCACTGTGTCCTTGCAACTAGGATGCAATATACATGTAGATCATGTAAAAACTCTAATTGGGCAATTCAAACAATAGATGAGCTTAAATCACAACAACAAGAGGTAAGACACAAGATTTATTCCGAGGTTCAGTGCATCACTAGGGCTTGCCTATATGTCATTGTTTTTTAGACAACCACAAAGGCTTGGAGTCTCTTCCAACTCTCACCTCTTCTCAAGTGAACCCAAAGATTAAGCTTGAGGGTTCCCACTAAATTCACAAGGGCAATACAAACTTCCAGGTGCTTAACCACAGCTGATTAGAAGCTCCCAGACAGCCTCTAGCCATCTAGGAGTCCAAGCTCCAAGACAACGAACTCAAACCACAATCTAAAGGAAGAACCAAGTGTTGTAGTTCTCGGAAGCTTGCTCACTAGCTATCTAATCCACTCCTTAGGCCAATCTCTCAAGGGATGTCACCGAGAACCAAAGGGAGAGGTTGGGGAGCCTTCAATGGAGCTAGTGAGTGCTGTCCACAAGTTGGAGAGTGAGTAAATGGAGTAGGCTACCGTTGAAGAAGAAGGGGAGAGAGTAAATGTACCTCTCTCCACTTTTCAAACGATACATTTTAAATGTGGAAGTTCTGCACTTAAACGCGGAACTTCCGTGGCGTAGAAGTATCGTGCTCAACTGAGGAACTTCCGTAAAGGCAAAAAAGAATAGGGGTTGGGCTTTTCAGGCTCTGGTTTCGCTTGGGGGTTTGGTTGTTCATGGTTTCCCTTAAGCTTACCAAATTATATCCCCCTTGATAGTGTGGTTTTTCCTATATCCAATATTTAAAATAGAAGTGTAAAGTGCCCTCATAATCAAAGCAACACAACATTTGAATTGGAGGCCGGGTCTCCTTATATGTTGTCATGCACCCACGTATACTTATAATATATCCATATCTCTTAAATATCTAGACCCTTAATTATATCATCATCAATATGCTAAACTCATTTGAAGGCCTAGATGCACTTTCATAACTAGTTGTTTGTGTACGCCTCATCCTAGGCTTGCCTCAAGATCGGCTTGAATTACGAACAAACCGAGCTTGAGCCTATCTATAGGCTCGGGCTAGTTTGAGGCTCGGCTCGCTGGACCGTCTAACAAGCTCCAGCTCGAGGAGATGACCTCGTCAAGCTCAGCTCATTCGTATTTCGTAGCCTTACGTTCAATGTTCATGAGGGCAAAGCCGCAAAGGTCAACCCAGTCTAGTTGTCCCTCAACTGTATGTCTTAAATTGAATTTGTCCTTTCTATAAAACGTGGCTGAGGTCTCACCCATCCATCGTTATAAAGTGTATTTTTGTCTGAAAATTCAAATCTTACAAATATTGACCAATAGTTAGTTAAATCATATGCATGTCTGCAATACTCCCTCGGTTCCAAAATATTTGCATTTGTACTATTCAAATTTTTTTCCAAAATAAAAGGTCATGTAGGGAGTGATACAGGGGTGGAAGATCCAACCTTTGGGATTACTGTTCTTTCTGGACAAAGTCCATCAACATGAGAGCAATAAATAAAGATACAAAAATTAATTTCTATCTCAAAAAGAAAAGCCAACGGTTTTGTCCTTTGGTTCTAGGGAAACCTACTCGTTTTGTCGTTCTAGTGTGGTTGGCTCCTGAACTTCAATTATTACTGAGCAAACCGTCACTAGTAGAGAAACGATCTTTGATTCAGCTCAAAATTTAGTTTTAGTTCCGGTATTTTTCGCGCACGGGACTAGAGAGACTTTAAGTTCGGTTTGTAGCTCCAACCGAGACTAAAGGTCCCTACCCAACGGCTACTGCGACAGACTTTTGCTACAGGGGACCTTTAGTCCCGGTTGAAACTACCAACCGGGACTAAAGGTTAACTTTTACTCCCGGTTGGTCCCTTCAACCGGGAGTAAAAGTCTACTCTCGGCTGGAGGCTCCGTCGGGACTAGAAAGTGATCTTTAGTCCCGGTTTCTGTCTTCAACCGGGACTAAAGGTCTCCTCCTATATAGCCCTTCTTTCTCCCTAAGCCCGAGCCACTTCGAGCTCAGTATTCTTACTTCATCGCCGGCCTCTCTTCTTCCTCATCGTCGGTAATCACAAGATTTCTTAGATTCCTCCATCGATTCTTTGGTTCTAAAGGTTACCAACTTTATACTCTTATGTTTTCATCAGTAGCATATCTCATTTTGTGGACTAGATATATGTGTTTTTTTATGGTGAATTTTTTTTATTTGTAAGCCATTTAAGCTCAAAATCACTTTAAAGTTTGCATATTTGGATGCAGGAAGGTTAAAGTAGTTATTCAAAACTAGTATTTAGCTTTCATTTCTAGCATGCATAGTACATTTCATGGTTTAGAGATATAGAGAATTTTAGAGTTTTTTTTAATTTTATTTATTTATAAAATGAGAAATTTATATTATATTAAAAATGAGTATAGAGAGTAGATGGCAACTGCTTCCGGGTCCTCGGCCTCTCATCGAGTTCCAAAGCGACTGAGGCCGGACCTCCCTCTCATTGCATGCGGCAAGTGTGAGGAGAAGATTGTGATGGAGTACCGGGTGAGGAAGGAGTGTCTCAACAAGGGCCGTATCTTCTACAAGTGTCCATATCGCAATGTGAGTTATTTTATCGCATTTGATGATTATGGTTAATTTATACTTATTTTCATGATGATTGTGATTAAAGTTCTAATTTTTTGTTTTAATTTTAGTGGGATGGCACTGGATGTTCAGGCTGGTACTGGGAGGAAA